TCGTAACCTCGAGACCGTCCACATCATTCTGGCTTTTGGTGAGTACTAAGTCCAGTAGTCCAGGTGTGTGGACCTGTCGTCATCTTGTCAGCCATCTTACATGCTGGTGGAGAGTCTTTACCATTATGTACTCCACCAACCCTGCGCAAAATGTACTATTCGGTGCCCAGCTGTCTTCCCACCGAATCTCCGGAGCATTGAAGTCCTCCATTCTTATAAGCCCCTCATTGCACCAGTTGACTAGATTTAAGTAGGCCAGAANGATCCACCAACCCGGTTATAGCCCCGGATACCGGCTCTTCGTCCTCTCGCTTTGGTGGAGAAACACCGCCGCCACGAGAAGGCAGTGAGTAGGGCTTCCTCAGCAGAGGCTATTTGAGACGCTTGGTCATATGGGAGCATTTCGCGAGGTGCAAGAGAAGGGTGACCGGCCTCAATCCTAGACACCCACCCCCGACCATACTGATATTGATTACATCGGCCCCTAGTTCCTTATTGTACCCTACCTTTACTGCCACCGCTCCCACTTGTTTATCCCGTGCCAATACCACTGTTTTGTTAATGGCGCTAAAATTCAAGCACTAATAGATACTGGCAGCTCCAAGATCCGATATCCGTTGTCATGGCATTTCCTATGAAAACACACGACTTACCATGATGCGCAACCTGTGCCGATGTATTGCTTGGCCATAATTTTCTTGGTTTGTATGATGCCGTTCGGTAGCAAACACGGTCCCTTCTCGCTTTGCAGCCTATCGGCCGCCAAAACTGAATCACCTCCCTACTTTGTCCACTACCCTCTTGACTGTAAGCCAATTGCTACCGAATCCAGAACAAATTCAGCCGAGAACGACAAGTTCATCAAGTCCGAGGTGCAATGCCTTCTAAGTGATGACATCATCGAACCTTCAAACTCTCCCTGGAAGGATCAGGTCCTTGTTACAGAAAACGTCAACCAGAAGAAACGAATGGCTATTGATTATAGCCGGACGATCAACCGTTTCGCTCAGCTAGATACTTATGCTCTAACCCGCATAGATGCAACGGTGGGAAACATCTCACGCTACGCCGTAAACAGTACCCTCGATTCCCATCAAAGACCACGAGAAAATTTATATCGTATTTGAAGTGTGTTTCAACCTCTTTAAGTTCTACCGAATACCGTTCGTGGTTACCAACGATGCCACTTGTTTTTAACGCACTACTGACAAGATCTTAAAAGCAAAATACGTTCGCATACATAGATAACGTCACCGGATGCCCATGATCGAAATATCGAACGCTTCTTGAACGTCGCTGCCAACTACGATTCAGAAACGATGGCGTCAGCAGGTTTATTAGTAAGCCCTCGACCAGAGCAGAGCTGTATGCAACCGAGCGCGTCCCCAGATTGCGAATCGGGGAACGATCGCTAACTCGCGTTTAACCGTGAATAAGGTCGGTTTAGGCCCACTGAATAAGCGGTCGCGGACGATCAGCGGCGGTGCTCATCAAGAGTCTGAGGAATAACCGCGAAAAGCGGTGGATAGGAAAGTGTAAAGAGATGGAGCGAGCTGCGGCTATTGGTAATGGTCGCGATCTTTTCCGTCTAATTAGTAATATATCTGAAATGAAGGTTTCAGTTTCAGTTTGAATAACCATTAACCATGCACTTTCGTGTGCCGGTTTTGGTTGCTGTCTTTTGGCTACCCATTTGGATGAACATTATGAGAAAGACAGGCTTACCAAAGTGATGGGACGCTCCTAGCGCGCGTTTTAAACCCTGCCCCGAATCGTGGTGATCCTAAATACAATCAGAGCATTAGCTTAAACAGTCTACGCATGAAGCCAAGGAGGCTAGGATATTGCTACCGCTACATCGATAGTGAGGCTCACATTAGACAAGCCGCTTCGGCTGGGACCGTGCAGGCATCACCTAACGGTACAAACAAGCCATTATGGTAGCTCTGATGTTTGCAACTACTTTGGCTTAATCGACTGAATCTAGGTCCAGGGGTCGTAGAGCCTTGGTAACCCACTGGACTGTTTCCGAGGCACTGTTATGACAAAGCCCCAGATGAACAGTGCACACACACACACGCACCACTGCATTCGTGATTGAATTAGTCAAGCCCTTTGATCTGTTCTATTTGGTGAATCGGTAATTATATAGTCATGTCGCGATGGTTGTAAGGTGTGACAGTCAGGGTACCAATACAGTTGGGCTACCCAACGTAGGGTGCATTTGGTAGCCGTGGTTTTCACTGGAGTCACAACGGCATCAGCACTCAAGGGAACGCCAATCGATAAGGTATTTAGCAAAAGGAAATTGCAATCCTACACCGGGGCGCCAAAAATGGCCTGGAGCAAAGTTACATGCGAAGTATGACAAACACTTCCAATAAATTTCACTCACGGGTTTCGAGGGGGCTAGGCAAGCATCGCAGTGCCAAAACGCGGATCGGGATTTGGTCTCGTGTGATGTTGACTGTTCTGTGGAACTGTTCTGAGGCAGGACACCCACACCGTAACACTTTGCATGCACTGTGAGCGAGCATAGGGAACACCGCAGAATCGGGCTTCTGACGGGAAGGGATAGATCAAAATGGGTTGGTATACCGTCTGAACGGGTGTACGCGAGTTCCGGAATATGAGGGGTTCCGCAGGCGGGTAGAGGAACTTTTGGTGATGAGGAATTGATCACCATCCCGAAATGCTACACAAATAGAGGGTGTAATGATGGATTTTAGAAGCCTGTAGAGATTTGCGAAAATCTAGAGTCCGGACATGAAGGTGAGTTAAGGTTTAGATACAATATTATTACAGCCCGAAATTGTTTTGACCGTACTTTAAATTAAGATTAATGTGACGGACCCGGATGAAAGAAACCACACTTGAGGGCAAGTAAATAGAAACCAAAGTTGTGTGTGATCGTGAATTGAGTGATAAAAGCTTTTGGAAGATCAACGAAAAGAATAAGGTGTTCATTTGGTTTAATGAACAGTCTCATTAACAGATTCATTCAGGTTTCCGATTGAACATGTTTTCATTTGGGAGTTGTCCAGGTTGATCAACACTCTTCTCTATATACAGTGTTATTCTGGCCGATAAAGGACACTGAACAGCTGTTTACAGCTGTTATACTTGTTGTCACTTATCCTTAGCGGGTAAGAAGTACCGGAAGGGAACATTTTACAGAGCCTGATGACCGTGAAATCGCATGCGCTGAAACGATAACATATGATTAAAAAATTAGCAATTTCATTGATTTGGCGTATCATGCTTCAGACTCCACGGTTCATCCAGTCAACTCGGAAGGCATTAAAGTTGAGTTTCGCACTTAGAAGAGCTTATCATTGGTGCACGTCCTCACCCACTTAAGGATTTGAATTCCAGATCCCACACCTTGAAGGTCAATGTGTTACTACCATACCATACCATACCATTTCGACCATTTCGAGCTGACCGGAATCGCCAGTGCCAGATTTATCAAATATGACAGTCAGTCGGTTAATTTGGTAAAACCTGAGGACCCACTGGTACGTTTGATGCTGCTTATCAATGGTCGATCGAAAAAGACATCGAATTCAATGCATTGAAATGTACGGTCGTATCCCTTCACCACCAAAGTCGGTTCCCGTACTTCTTGCGATATTGACAACTTCCGTGTGCCTCAAATGAGAAGGATCTCAATATCAGTATCGTTCAAGACAACTTAAGTTGTTCTTTAATCTGCTCCGGGGCTTCGTCCACCGCTGTAATACATGTTGGTTTACTAACGTGAGTATTTGGCGAATTTGAATCTATGCTGTTCTCACGTTTGTTATCAGCCTAAATTCAACCCCCACAAAGAGCACACCATTCCCAAACGAGGAGTGCGTGGCTGCAACGCGACTGTAAGATTTTGGAACGTCCACAAAGAATGGCTACTAAGATCGTAAAAGGACTGCATTCCAAAACTTATGTGGAAAGAGTAGAATCATCAGAGTTGTACTGCTCCCATTATCACCGAATTCTAGGAGACTTGATTAAGTGTATCAAATAATACAGAACCCCGATGCCCATGTCGTTCACTGTTCATCTTGTGGCCCAACACTCACCTCAGGAGACACTCATTCCAATTAGTGCTCCAAAACTGTTCACTGGAATGCCGGCTTCATTCATTTGCCCTCAGTTTGTAGTATTTAGAATTCCTTACCAACGTCATTTCTGCATCGACTATTGATTCTTTCAAACACAGACTGGGTGCATCATTGTCATGTCTTGAATTTTGATATTCGTAGCAGTACACGAAACAATAGAAATTTGTAACATTACTCATCTACCCATGATCAAGTTGTGGGAAAAACTCTACTGGAGAGGAAAAGCAACTACTAGTACGTTCCATGATAAAACATTGACTTCTAATTTGCAAACAAAGGAGAGAGAGCATCTTCTGTCAACTCAAATGGAGAGCGCAACTCGAGTCCAGTCCTTGTCGAGTACATGGTGGGCTGGATGGACCGATGATGATGAACGAAGATGAAGCCTGAATAATGGTCAAGTGAACCAAAATCACTTACTTACCCCTCGGCACTAATCGTAAATCATTTTAAGTTGGCCGTAAATAAACAGTTTTTGCAAGGAGGTGAATTGAAGCAATCTTGTGATATCAAAATACCTCGTGTTTGCTTAGTAAAACAGTGCCGCTACGAGAAAACATAGTGGCCTGCCCAGGAACTTGGTGCGAATTGGCTACCAATCTGAGAAGCTATCGTTGCACCAGCCATCCGCGGAGAAATATCAAGGCCCAAATAGCGAATGATTTTAAATCCACCGCGTTACTGAACTATTGCTAAAGCCCTCATTACACACGATTGTGTTAATCAGAGCATATGACGGTTCCGGATGTATTTGCTTAAGTATGTCGCCGTAATTCGCGCATAAGGAACACAGCCTTTCGAGTTTAACACCGTTTATTCACTTTCCTACTCCGCTTTTGCAAACACCTGTTTGCGAACCACAAACTGTGCATAGTCCGATTCGTAGACTACATGCCCTCCTATCAACCGCAATTCCTCCTATCCTGGATTCATTTCTAATAGTAAAACTGTAGCCACTAGACTACCATGGAGTACTTGTTCTGTTGTCTTTTTGTTATCACTATTAATCTGTTCCTTGGAGGGTAACGCACTCGTTTCCAGAACTCTCGTACTCCCTCTGGAGTCCGAGACACAGGTTGTTAATTCACTTTACAAAACTTCTGACATCTGGTGCCACGGCTAGATTTTAATTCTCTTTTTTCCTCCTAAGCAACGTGGTTGGAGGATGATAGACTAGTAGTGTCATGAAACAGAAACACTAGGGGTATCGTTCAAAATCGAAATCCATCAAAAGTTGCCCGCGACTTCTTGTGACCCGTCCGATGCGGACAAACAGTATAAGATACAAAAAGTATATAGTGAGTACCATCTACATAGAACATAAAATCCGCATTGTCATCCATTTCGTTGTGTTTGTTAGGCTTTTACGTTTTCAGTCTTTCTCGTTTCACCAGACAACTTTAGGCTGCTACGTTTTCAGGTAGTCAAGTTGTGGAACACCTCTATCTTTCTTTTTTCCCCTCCCAACGAATCTCTAAGTACAGAAACAACAAATTAGACCTACCGTGCATGCTTCGTTTACACTCGAACCACACGGACCCACAAATTTCTTTTTACTGCAAATTGGAATTAATTTAGAAAAAGTGACGGAACCTCGGTAGGAAGTATGCATTTCATGCTCACTACGATAATGTTTCAAACAAAAAGGCAATTTTGGTGAACACCTGGTTGATTGGTTATTTACCTGTGGAGACCATAGCAGAGCACAGATGGCACAATGCGGTTCGAAACTTCCGATCAAATGATTGAATCGTCGTTCGTCCCGAGGATCATACACACCTCCAGAGAAAAGTGAAATCAATCCGTTGTTCATAACATGGTACGGCAAACGTCCACCCATTAAATCTAGAGGTACAAAAAGAAGACTTATTTCTCAAATACTATTGATGATATTTAAGGTCCTAGGAGACACAGTGTCCCATAAAACAATTTGATATTTTGCGGGGAAAAGTTGATGTCTGTCTTCTCTACACAAAAGCAGTCAGGGCTTTTTGTTCTAGCAGTAGAACTTTCAGAAACCACAAGCAAAACACGGTGGTGGTGGCTGAGCAAATTAAGTCATTGTCAAACATGCACATCGGTCCTCCTGGTGTGAGGTGTCGTCACAATCATTAAAATTTGATGTTGGATAGCTTTGTAGTCACTCGGCTAAATTTCTTTTCCTTGCCCTCGGGTTTTATTGGAGCTTCGTGTTTTATTTCGGTGTGATAAACCGCAGACAGAGCAAACCCCATAATCATGGAAACCTACTGCTCAGTAATACAAATCGTAGTCTGGGACTTGGAGTAATAAACCATTTAAGGTCATCACAACATAGGCATGATTCACTAATCTAAGTCCTCAACAGAACATTAAGCCTTTTTAACTATGGGGTTCGTCCATGCTACTTTATGCAATACAAACTGGATCAGCGTATGAAATCGAATGTTTGGGATTCATCGTAAGAAAGGTAAGAGTTAAAAAAACAAAGCTGATGGTTTAGGTTTGGGATCTCACTTTTTGCCACGTAACGCACATCCAATACATTAAGGTCCCCAATTTCAAATGGGATTTCAGCTTTGCATGTATTATCCAAACCTGGATCGATCGATCTTTTGCCAACTGACCTGGGGCGATCCGAGATAGGAATACGTTTGTTTGACGGGGCTGAATCACATGAGATGCCGTGGATAGAAGCTTACCTTTTGAAGGATAACTTAAAGTGGAATGCGCTACTCGGGTTGTATGCAATTCGTCATATTCGTTTAGAGGATGTGGTATTACATCGATTCCCTTTGACCAATCATTGTATAGATGGGGTTGGTAGAGTTTAACGAAAGGGTCCATGCAGATCTTCACCGTGTCATCCCAACAATGGCAGAGCAATGCTTTTTTCCCATACTCAATCCAACGTGGTAACGCAAAATTAGTGGATTCGGCAATATTCAGACCCATATTAAAACCACTATGATAAGCATAAGGAAAGGTGATCATGAATTCACCAGCATTCTGCACGATCTAAAAAGAGACTAGGTAGAATATGATGATCGTACAAACCTTTCGTGTGGGTATTCCCGCTCTTTCTAACATGTTCGGATGAATCAGGACGCATTTGTGGCGCAGGAAACAATGACAATGAACGAAATCTGCTCGAAAGTATTCTAAGCAAGTGTATTTATTGTATTACATCAACTATCCAGCTTACCAAAAACAAACGCTTCGAATCGACGAGCATAGGCCGGAGGGATCACGTACCAGAATTTGGGTGCACCGAAATGGACGTAGTTAATGGAGTACAAATCCACATCCTCAACGTGCCAGGCAAATGTGGACCTCCACATACCATAATACAAATAGGGAGTATTGACCCCGGGTATTTTTATATTTTCAGAGTTTAAAACACGACTAAGCATAGAATCCAAATGTGCAATATTCCAGCCATCTTGATTTGTAGTTAAACTGCCACTTACATTGGCACCATAGAGCGGTCGTCCTGTATTAACAGAACCCCAGTATTTCTTTTCAAGGTGCTCTAAATCGCGATGGTTTGGAGTTGCACGAGGGCTCGAACAGGCCAATGAACGAAATTCTTTAAATGATATACTCTTCTTTGGAATGATTTCCTATGAATATGAGAATAACAGGAAAAAAAGTGGGAGTTTTACCTGAAAAAATACTCCACGACTTCCATGTGTCACTTGATAAACCGGTTTTTCGACAACGTAATGATCGATGTTCATATAACCCTCAGGACGAGGAGTCCAACCTTCTGGTGGGATTACTTTGCATAGTCCGATATGATGAGCACCCATGGCCTCAATTTTGGCTATACACCCACTAAAGTCTTGGAATTCATCCCACTCAGGTCTGTAGACTGGAATATCTGGGATGGCAGTAGGCTCTCCAAGCTATCACAGATAAGATGAAAAGCACGAAAATACCAATGTTTTATCGATGAAAGGACCTCGTGATATCCCTGGCGGGTCACACATGGCGATTGCAAATGACAAGACATCCAAGTTCACTTTTCTTTACCGGATTCTAAAATTCAAGAAATGAAAACAAGCGTCTAATCCCTTTACAAGGCAATAATTTTTGGCCACATTTGGAAAGCGCCAACACAGCACATCATGGTCAATGAGAAAAAATGAAGGACGATGATGACGGCGTGTTTTTTTCGTGTTACTTTGCATTCTGACCGTAGCTTAACCTGTTGTATATATATATATATATATATTTGAGAATTTATTTATTTACTTAGGGTTGCAAGGACATTGAGTAGATGTATGAGCGCTGCAGTGTACGATAGCCATACTACTCTGTCCCTAACTATCGATTACAATGATCCCCATCCGGGAAAGCTGTAGGCGAGTTTTCTGGACAGGGTTGCCATGACCTTATACCAGGTCTTACCTTGAACATCCTGTGCTTTTTCAAACCCTTCACCTACCTCGGCAAACAAAGCGTATCATGAAGGTTTATTTAGTGGTGTGCGTAACACATGTTCCGAATGACAATCTATGGAAGTCGACTAATTGCTTCGGTGGGCGACAGTAAGTACCTAAAACTCTGCTCCTACACGCAGCACTGCTTGCCCGGTTTTCTCCTATAAACTCGTACAATGCGGTGTCCGAACATCAAAAATCTTTATCTTGTTCTCGTAATCGCCAAGGTTCTGTGCCGTATAGCAAAACTGGTCGAACTGCCGCGGCCTACCCTTGCCCCTGACAGCCGGATATCGCAAAGATGTAACAAATGTCTGAAGTTGGCAAACGCCAATCAAGCATTCTATATGCGTACCAACACTTCAGTCGTTGTGTGCCCGCTGACTGAGATATAGCTTCTCGGATATCAAAGTCTGTTTACTTCCTCTATTATGTACGATTGTGGAGTGAGTTAAAAAAACTAGACAAGAAAAAGAGCGTTCTCAAGTGAGGCGCCTGAGACTCTAAGGTATAACATATTTCGCGGCAGACCACACTGAGAAAAGGGTTTTATACGGTAATACTGACCAGAACCTTTGACTCGAAAGTCTGACCCACACCGCAATGTGGTGTAGATCCAACGCCGGAGCTTCTAACGACCTGCCAGGCGGTTCAGTTTTTTGACTGATTGATTACCCGCTGTTCGCGGATTGACTCTCAGTCTCAAACATTCGATGAAACAGGCGGAGCATGAACAGAACAGCACCTTATCGGTTAGGGAGTGCACAGCGTCGGCTGGCAGCAGCTACTCAATGAAGTGCGAAACCTCCAATGGTCGGGGGGAGGTCACAGTTTCAGTTCAGTTCAGTTTGAACAACCAGTAACCATGCACTTTCGTGCGCCGGTTTTGGTTGCCCATTG